AGCTGTGTCATCCCAGGGTGGGGGGTGAGGGGCAGGCAGAGGAGAGCTCATTACATTTTGTACAGTCAAAGAAGCCATCTCAAATTGCTTTCACTTTTTCCCCCACACAGAGAGACAAACACCTACAGGATCTAAATAGAGCATTCAGGAAACTGAAATACCCACCCGGAGAAGTGAAAAGGAAAAAAACCCGGGGAAAGGAAAAAAAAAAAAAAAAAAAAAAAAAAAAAAATTTATAGAGCCAAAAAAATACCCAGACATGAACTACTTCAAGACAGGCCAAAAAGGGAAAACAATAGAATTCCACTTGTCAATACCTACAGTCCACAACTTAAATCTCTCCAATGCATTATCAATAATCTACAACTTATCTTGGAAAATGATTCCTCACTCTCAGAGGCCTTGTGGGAAAGGCCAATCCTTGCTTACAGAGAATCTCCTAACCTCAGACAAATTCTTTCCAGTAACCACGCAACAAACCTCCATCATAATCACCCAGGAACCTACCCCTGCAATCAGCCCCGGTGGCAACTCCGCTCACACATCTACACCAGCCTTTTCATCACTGGACCCAACTACATCAGCTTCCAAATCAGAGGCTCATTTAACTACACATCCACGAATGTGGTCTATGCCATCAAATGACAACAATGCTCCACTGCTATGTATATTGGCCAAACTGGACAGTCTCTACGGGAAAGAATTAATGGACACAAATCAGATATCTGAAAAGGCAACACACAAAAACCTGTAGGAGAACACTTTAATCTACCTGGACACTCATTAATGGATCTCCAAGTCGCCATTTTGTTTCAGGCAAATTCCACAGGCCAAATATATAGAGAAGGATTGGAACTTAACTTAGTTTACAAGTTTAATTCTTATGCAAATGGTATGAATAAGGACATCAGCTGGCTTGCACATTACCTTCCACATCCTATAACTTAACCTACCAACCAAACAATGGAGGTGCTAATGGTTCTTATCACCCTCTTGTAACTATTTAGTCTTTAAGGTGCTACTAGACTATTTGTTGTTTTGTAAGTCTTCCCTGTTACGGACTAACTAGGCTACTCCTCTGAAGCTTATCTACTCACCGTCTCTTTTTCTTCTTCCTTCCCTCCTTTTTTTCCCCGCTCCTTTTCCTTCTCCCCTCTCCCCTTCCCTTATTTATTCTTGGATCTCGACTTCTAACATTCCTGTCATCTAAAGAAGTGGGCTGTGCCCACAAAAGCTCATGATACCATCTACATGTTTTGTTAGTCTTTAAGGTGCTACTAGTCTAAAGTTGCCGATGACTTGGCACTTCTTTCTCACACTCATCGGCATATGCAAGATAAAACAGATAAATTAAATAAATATAGCTCACAAGTTGGCCTTAAGATAAACCAGAAGAAGTCAGAAGTCATGACTCTGAACACTACACTGATAGATTTGTATAATTGGGTAGTATCATCACCCCAGATGGTGGAAGTAAGCAAGACATTCAGAATAGACTGAGTAAAGCACGAAACGCCTTTATCAGTATGAATAACATCTGGAAATCCTCAAAGTACAGCGTGCGCACTAACCTGAAACTATACAACAGCTGTGTTCTTCCAGTGCTTCTCTATGGAGCAGAATGTTGGCGCATGATACAACGAGACCTTACTAAATTGTCTACATTCCATACCAAGAATCTTAGAAGAATAATCAGGATATTTTGGCCAAATAAAATTTCCAACGAAGACCTACTGTCTCAGTGTAAACAAGAAGACATGGCCACTATAATTATGAAAAGACGCTGGCGATGGATAGGTCATGTGTTACGAAGAGAAGACGGATCTATTACGAAAATTGCACTCCACTGGAAACCAGATGGGAAGAGAAAGAGAGGAAGACCAAAAACAACCTGGCGCCGAACGGTAGAACAAGAATTAAAAGACCATCATCACACTTGGGGAACAATAGGCGCTTTGGCCTGCGACCGACAGAAGTGGAAGGACTTTGTTGCTGCCCTATGCGCCATTGGCGTAACGGGCAGTAAGTAAGTAAGTAGTCTAAAGTTTTTCCTGCTTTCACTTATTAATCCAAAAAAGCCAGAATACTGATATGTTGGGTCTATCAGCATCAAAATGATACAATCTGCACATCTAGAATACAGCAAGATATGAATACATTAAAACAGAAAGATATAGGCTTTTTCTCACTGGTCTGTAGCATAAAAATATCTGATATCTACCTGGTGTGTGAACTGTATTATTTGGGTTGTTCCAGGCTTGTCATGACATGTTGGAATCCGTACCTTGAAAGAAAAAGAATAAGTAATTAGTTCTCCTTATACCCAATTCAATTTAAGCTTAGAATACGAAGTAGGGGACAACATGTTAAGATTGCCTGACATATCCTATTAGCTGCTTATATTCTTTTTAGATGCTTATAACCATCTTTTTAGCTGCTTATAACCTTTCCAAATTTTAGCTATTTGGCCTGAAGTTTTCCATGCAATCTATCTGCCTCAGGTTGAACTTTTTGGAAAAAAATTAATAAGTGTACCACTTCAGGGCAATAATTATTTCCTCCTGACAATACTGAAAATCTAGCTAGAGACCAGAGATCATGGCTACAAGAATTATATTAATATTAAATTGCTAAACATTTTTTAAAATAAGAGCATAATTGTTTTAATAAGGATTTTTTATATTAAAATGAAAGTTTCAACTTGTCTCTAGTAAAACAGAAAAACGTGAGTGCTCAGAATCTGAGACATTTTAGAAGTTAGAAAGAAATATTATAAATAGATTTTATACTTTTCAGTTTAAAATGGCAGTTACCACTTAGAATAGGTCTCCCAAAACCTCAGACTCCTTCATACACACTGAAACAGCTAGCAATTGCCAAAGCATAGCGGGGGCAAAGAAGCCAAGATACAGCTGAAAATGTCAGCAGCAGCCTTCCTCACTTTCCAACTAACCAAGTGTCAAAAAAGTCATTACAAGGAAACAGAATGGTCTCATATCTGAGAATTAAATATTGAGAATTCAGAAAAACAGAAAAGATCTCAAAACAAGGAAGATCTAACACTTGCCAATCAGAAGTTAAAATAAAAACAGGACTCTGCTTTACTAGTAAAAATAGGTTATTCTTCCAGAATAGACTCACATAGATCTCCATCTTTGGGAATGCACAGGCTTCTGGCCACAAGCCTAGACTCATTTGCTAACAGTAATTCTGAAGTCAAACTCGTCATCCATGAAATCCATTCAAGGCTATGAAGGAATATAGCTCCCAAATATTTCATCTCCTCTCCCCATCCAATTACTATAGTTGTTTATGGCTTAATTTAATATGTACTAGCTTTTTATTTTTTTCCCCCCAATATTAATGCTAGTAATAGTTTTTAAGCTGCTTAATGTCCTGGACTTCCAGGCCCCACATACTGACTGACTTGGAAATTATTTGTAAAATAATGTAAAATTACTAGGACAAGCCAGATTTTCCTCTAAATTGACATCAATTTATCTCCACTGACTTGAATGGTGTTACATTCATGTAGTAGAAAATTTACCCCTAAATATTTTCACATTTTCTTTAATGTACCAGTATCTGTTGGCACATCAATGGAATCACTATGAAACCTTCTGGGAAAGTATACTCTGGAGGAAAGGTGGAAAAGCGGTTAGCTAGCTGCTGAGGATTGGAATTTTGTTCTGGAACATTTGTTTTGAACCTCTATATAAAATCTTAGTGACAGAGCAGATATTTATAAATTGTACTTATGTTTTCAAAGGACTCCAGGAAATTTAAACTGGATTCTCCCAATCTTAACTCTCAAAACAAGGCAGAATACATTGAATATATACAGTAAATAGGGGAGGGGGAAATGTGGTAAAATGACACAGATTTACCTTCATTACAATGCCCATAATAGGCAAATTTAGTGTTTTCCCTGGGACTGGTGTTGGCCAATGATCAACATCACTACAAACTGAAAAACAGAGCCAAAGAGGTCAAGTATGTTGCGTGTCTAGTTTATATACGCTCTACTTCAAGAAATGCAAATTACTTTGACACATATTAAAAATGTAAGTCTTAAATTAACATTTGTTCCCAACACCATCACTCCCCTGAGATTTTTTTCACTTAGTCATCTACTTTGCTTCATATTCTGAAGACATCTTATTGCATACCATATATACCATTGAACTCGTCTGTTATCCTAATATAATGTATTGCAAATCATTCACTGGTCCAGTAAGAAAATATCACATTGTCTTCTGTCTCTTTTATTTACATTAAAGTAGCAGACATAAGCTGCAGTTAGGATCAGGACCCACTGTGTTAGATAAGTACAACTACATATCAAGAGAGTAAAAGGAACACATAGTTATATAAACCAGCTATGATCACAATTTGCAATTAAGTTTTTAAAGATAAACAAGAAATATTAATGATATGCTAATGATCAAGTCACCTGTCTAGAAACAGGTTTCCTAGAATGTGTAGTTATGAATGGTGTTCACTAGTTCAACAGGTGCTAGCTTTAAGCACAGAAGAAAAAGTTGGTTTGAGGTCAAAGGTTGGATACAATAAAACCTTACTAATATGCTCTTCAATAAATTGCAAATCCCCACTGAAAGTTGATTCCTAAGACCTGGCCCATTTATGGCACTTAATGAAACTCTAAGATAGTTAGGAGTCACTTACTCGTAAGCTGTTGCTTCTGGGAGATGGAGACAAGCCCAGATTCTTAGTGTCCCTATATCATTAACTCCTGATGATCCAGTGGGCGTAAGAAAGCCATTAAAATACCACTACCTCCTCCACCTACTCTTCCTTCTCATCAACAAAAGCTTGAGAGCCATTATAGCTTTCTCTGTGACAGGTGAATCCAATTTGCAAGGAAAACAAATTAAGGATGCTGCCAACTACCTGTACTGAGCAGGCAGTCCCCATACTGAGAACATAGACTTTTATCTCTTTTTAATGGAGAGTTCTACACTATCCTTGGAAGGACTCAGGTTCTACCATATTATAATCTTCTAGATAATAAATCTTCAACTCAATTTTTAGAAGTTTAACAGCACATCTAGATGGAAAATACATGTATGCTACAATATTTTTTCCTGTTACCAAGTACAAAATGTCATCAGTATTTAGAAATTCCATACAACAAATTGAGCTCTCTTTTATTACGGATGTAAGAGCGTAGCTGTTTAAACAGGTAACTGATAAGCTCATTCTTATCAGTTACCCGGATGGCTACATGCAGCTCCTGGGGAGCCACCTGCTGCCCTGCACTGCTACCACCAATACAGAAGTAGCAGCGCGGGGTGGCAGGCAACACGCATGGGGAGCTGGCTTAAAAGTCAGCTCCTGGCATGCACTGGCTCCCAGGAAGTTGGCTGCTGCTCTGCACGTAAACATGTAACCACTAACCGCTGAAAATGTCAGTCGATTAATTGATGACATGCATTTTAATGGTTAATCAATTACATACATTAACATCCCTGTCTTATGAACTTTTCCAAAACAATAAATTAGTATTAACTAACCTGCTTCCAGGAAAGAGTCATTCTTTACAAAATATTCTGGTGCTATGTGCCTAAGCACAGTGTGGAAAAGATGGATATAAGGTAGTTTGCTGATGAGAACCAAGGACTGGAATAAAGAAAGCAGCAAAATAATCCATGATTAAATTTCTGAATCTGCCCCAAAAGTAACAAGCATTAAAAACACCCTCAATCATTTAGAACAAGTGTGAGTTTTCAACCCAATTTGTAACTACAAGAAACCACAAACAAATCGGTAAACACCAGCAGCTACCAATGTATTGCTTCAATTGTGACATAGTCAAACCAGAGGGCTGCCAGAGAGCGGAAAAAGGCAGCCTTAGAAGGGTAAAAAGCCAACTCCCCCATTAATTAGAAGTGGGTTATTGCAGGTCAAGCAGGAGCAATTGACAAGAGGTTGTCTCGGGCAGATTATAATCAGATGGGACAGGGCTATCTTGGACAACTTAGGGTCATCTGATTGCACTTCAGGCCTGCCTGAGACCTTTTAAAACAGCAGTTCCCAACCACCTGTCCATGAACCACTGGCTTCTGGGCCACTGCTGCTCTGAGGGCCAGGACTTGGAAACACTGTCCAGTGCTCCCCCTCCCACCACAGCTGTTGGGAGAGGCGTGTCCTGCCCTACCTCTTCGCCAACCATCGCCACAGCGGGGTCTCCTCCTGGATATGGTTTGCTGCATGACATGAGGTCTGTGTGGAGCCCAGCAAGGCCCTTTCCGCAGAGTGGTTCAGGGAAAGGTCACATGGGCAACGCCGCACAGCAACGGCTCACTCACGCCACAGCCAGGAACAGCGCGGGGGAGAAATGAGGTGAGTGGGGTCATGCTGGCAGCCAGGGTGAAACACAGGTGGCCCAAGGCCCACGTGCAGGCAAGCTGCCACAGGACAAGCTGCCCATGCTGAGGAGAAGGCCGGAGCCACATCACTGGCCCTGAAGGCAGCGAGTGCAGATCCCGGCCCCTCCAGGCCACATCATGAAGGGCTAACAGGGGCCTTCCCGGCCACCCTGCCTATGCCCTGCCCTGGCCATTTGCGGAGCCCCAAGAGCTGCTGGGTCTGACATGGACCCAGAGTCTGCACGGGCTGGTGGGAGTGGCCCAGGACTGATGGTGCGTTTCTCCTGCACAGCACTGCCACCAGGGGCCACAGCTGGGCAAATGCTGAGCCATTAATCCCTGTGCAACTGCCCCCACGCACTGGGACCTGCCACTTTCTGCCCAAGTAGCCACATGGGTCACTCCAAGCAGCCTCCTTCCCCTCCCAGCTCTCCGTGTCCAGCCCTTGGACTGCTGAATTGTGGACTGTCTTAAAGGGTGGGGAGCTGACACGGGGGGGGGGAGGGGGCACTGAAGGTGGGATTAGTAATGGGGGAGCTACAGGGACAGGACTGACACTGGGGGCCTCTGGGAATGGGGCTAATATTGGGGACTGGCACTAGGGGGGTTGGGTGCAGTGGGGCTCTGGAAACAAGAAGCTGGCACTAGGGGGTTTGGTGGTGGTGGGTTCTAAACCTTAGGGGGCAGAAGGTGACAGCTGAAGTTGGCTGTTCTGGTAGCAGCTCTGGGGGCTAGGGCTTTTAGCGGACCGGTAACATTTTATTTGGATATTCATTATTTGAATAGTGAATACGCAAATAAAATGTTACCAGTCTGCCAAAAGTTTGTGAATAGGTTTGCCAGTCTGTGGTATTAAAAAGGTTGGGAACCACTGTTTTAAAAGCCTCCCCTGTAGGATGGAGGGAGAAGGACAGAAAGGTATGCAGAAACACCAATAGCTATGGAGTTACAGACAGGGTAATGAAAAGCTCCAGAAGAAGCTGGGCTCCCTTCCCCAGGGAAAGATTACTAGCCCAACTCCCTACTAAGGGAAAGGTTGACTGCCCAGACACAGCAGCCAGTGAGGTGTTTACCTGAGGCCCTTCTCGCCAAGGGGA